ACTTCTCAGGCTCCAGAACTGTAAGAAATAAGTGTCTATTGTTTATAAATCATCAATTCTCTGGTATTTTGCTATAGCAGCCAAATGCTCGGTTCTTGTTCAATTTCTGGCATAGATGTAGTGCCAGTCACCTGGATTCGGGAACAAAGGCAAGGAGTGAGAATGGGGAGGGTGTCAGGAGAGTACATGTCACATGTATTAGCTTGACGTGCCTTGAGACGGCCAAGTAGAAATATCGAAGAACTGAGTATATACTAAGATCTGAAACTCAGAAGAGAGGCCTGAGCTGCAGATACCAATTCAAGAGTTACCTTCATGAAGATGCTACCTGAAGCCATGGGCATAGGGCAGAAGGGGACTTACAGCTAAACATCAAGGCATCTAACTTCATAAAAGCATTTATAAACTCTAGCTCTGGAGCCAGATTGCCTTATTCTGAATCCTAGCTCTACCACCATGAGCTGTTTTGCCTTCCCTAAGTACCACTTACATTCCCTGTAAAATAGAGTGTTTGCTATGAGGATACGTAGAGTGAGATAATACATAGAAAATACCTATCATGATAGCTATCTCACAGTAACACCTCAAAAGACACCAGCCTGTACTGATAATGTCAATGGGAAAAAAGACAAGCTAGCAAAGTAGACAAGAAAGGAGCTTCCAGTAAGAATGGAGAAAATTTGGAAGAACTGTGAATGTTTTAAGGACTTCTCAACAGTGCTTTTGTGGGGATAGACTAAAAAGATGACTGATGGATGTCCAATAAGCCAAGGACCTCAGAGAAGCACGTGGTGGAAGAAGTGGGCAGATGCAGAGTGGAGTGAGTCTGAGCAAGAAAGTGGGTTACCCACAGCAGGTGTAGACAACACCTCTGAGATCTGGGCTAACAAAGAAGATGCGTCCCAGAGAAAAGAGGCCAGGGTGGGCTGGTACTAGAAAAAAAAAAAAAGAAAAGGCACAGGCAGATACATATGCCGCTCTTCTGTGGAGTACATGAGTGGGTAGGTAGTAAGGGCCTCATCACCTCAGGAAGAAACTGGATAGCCATGTATTGAAGTAAGGTGAACAGAGAGGCTGATGACTTTCAAACGCATGGTTCATGAAAATGAGATCAAGGGAGGAGGAGTGTGTGAGACAGGAAGGGAGCAGGTATGGGCTGAACTGCAGAGAGTGACGGCACTGGACGAGTCCACTCTGCTTCGGTCAAGTGCTCAGGGGGACTGCGCAAAACTGGCACGAGGAGAAGTATTTTGTGACTATAATTTTTTAACTTCTAGACATATATTCAGTTATCCTGGCAAAGCGCAGGATGAGATGCTATAAAAAGTGGATTCCAAGTTCATGCCTGATTGCCATGAGCACAGTGTAAAAGTATATAAAACTAAATCCACCAATACTGATACGGATGTACCACGAGAGGAAAAGTGTAAACTACCACTGCATAGATGACTACAAAGGAAAAGGCAGGGGAAGCCACAGCAAATTTTCAAAGTATGTAACTGTCCCTAAAAGGAAGGAATTAAGGAGGAAAGGGAAGGAGAGAAGCTGAAGAGAGGGAGGGAAGAAGGTCAAGTGTAAACACGTGGAAATAGGGGGCAAAGAACTCCCACCAAAGCATATCCAGGCCATCGCTGCATGACAAGAGTATAAGCAATTTTTAAAAGTTTTCTGTGGCCCTGTTTCTTAAATGTGTGTGTCCTTTGTCTGCCAAGATCCCACTATCTATGTTTAAAAGGAAAATAACTGATTTCCCAAACTCTGTGTAATGCCAGGCTTGCCAGGATGGCAAATATCAGATTTAACCTGTGAAATTCTAATTTTAATTCCTAGTACCCAATGTTGGCCTAAGAATTCATTGTCTATGGCCTCTGAGGGTAATCTTATATTACATTTTAAGGTTCACGTGAGAAAGCTGCAATTTAAGCAACGTTCAATTCTAAAAACTAACTCTGAGTCACCTGCTATTAACTGGATACCATAGCTAAGTCTAAATGCGTCTACTGCATGATGCTCAGAACAATGCAAAACTGTGTCATCATTATAGAGTCAGCAATGTGACTCCTGGATCAATAGAACAGAACAGTATTTTTAGCACCATACCTGTGTGTGTGTGTGTGTGTGTGTGTGTGTGTGTGTGTGTGTACGTGCACATTTGTGTAAGGATTTTGGCATGAGAAGGTTGTGAAAATTTTCATAGATTAGAACAGATCCAGATGCAAAAAATATTGCAGGAAATAAGTTATTCTAGTTTTGATGTAAAATTCTGTCTTTAAAAGTCCAGTTTTTCTGATGCTGCAGGTAGGGTGGCGACCTTCATCTTTTGGACTCAGCCCTGTGCTACACATTCTTCTACCTCTCACCTCCTTCACTCCAAGCCTTTTCTATGGAAGTACCTCATTGCGTAGATGCTCTCGCTGCCATTAAAAACTCCCCCATCTCCTAAGCATTTCACTGACTTCTCCATCTTTTCTGAAGAAATTTTCAGATTGGTCCAAAAAATGTGTCAATACAACTTTCTTTTTTTGAACAGAAGCATGTGTTCTATTAACTTTAATAGTTTATATCAAGTAGAAATGGGTTTCCCTACAAATAACTGAACACTGTTTAAATCTGTAGTTAAATCCTGGAAATCCATATTATCCCACTGAACCAGAAGCCTGGTAGTAGGTGGGTCCAGGTATCAGCAAGGACCAAGGTATTTCCCATAGTCCCTTGCCAATGTTCTCGGCGTGTTATCTTTTATCCTCATGCCCGTAACTCATTGGTGTGTATGTGTAGTGGCTGCTGCAGCACCAGACATCACATCCTTCCCCTGTGCTTAAATGTAAGAATCAAGGGTGTGGCAAAAGATACTCTTCTCTCAGAAGTCTCAGCCTTTTATTTGAGGGAAGAAGTATTTTCTAAAGCTTTGCTCGAGCCAAAGCCCGATTACCTAGCCACTCCTACTTGCAAGGAAACTTGTGAAAGTATCTCTTTTTTAAGCCTTTAGTCAAACTCATTCTCCTCTTTTGTGTGAATTAGATGAAACAATACCCTTTTGACTATCTCCCATATTGCCATCAGAATATCTCACCTGAGCTATTCCAGCAGCATAGGTCTCCCTGCAGTGCCATTGTGCTCTCTGCCATCTACTCTATCAGCTATAGTGCTATTTAAATGCAAACCTCAGCCTCAGGCCCCTCTTCCACACTTTGCCTAGAGGATCTGGTTACACCCAGCCATGCAGCCTCATCCCCCTACAACACCCCTACAACATCTAGGTCCCACCAGCCTGCTCAATGCACCTTGAGAAGGTCCTGCACACCCCAGGACTCTTGCACATGCTGTTCCATCTGAATTCTCACCCATCCCCAACAGGAACATTCTAAAAGCCTGAGAACCAGGTTTGTATTTCAGCAAAAAAATGTTCACTCCTTTGTTAAAATTGTACTAGACAAGAAGCCATTTGGCAGTACTAGTTTTCTTTTCCCAAATATCTTCATCCTTCACTCCTCTGGCCACCAAGCTCTATAGCTTCCTGGCGGTGACCACACCTCAGACGAGGGCTTTCCCTGTGATTCAATTTCTTCCTCAGGAAGTAATGGATTCTGCTGAATTTTGCTATCCTCCCTTCAAAGCTGATGGCTTGTTTTTGTTCAGTCCCAGTGCTGGAATTAAACATACTTTAAAACTTATCCCAGGATATACATGAAAATGTATCCATTTCAAATATACTCTGCCTTGCACATCATAAAAATGCAAAGTAGTATTTTTCTCTTCTTTCACTTATTGAAATACTCTATAAAAATTTCTTTCTACTAACTACATTACAAATTTTTGTTTGGTGTTTGTTTTCATTTTTGTGGTGCTAGGGATTGAGCCTATACCCTTTGAATACTCTCAAGTGCTCTACCACCGAGCTGCCCCACCCCACCTCACCCCACCCCACTCTAAAACCTTTGAAAACTTTATTTAGAGACAGGGTCTTCCTGAATTGCCCAGCCTGACCTGGAATTTGCAGTCCTCCTGCCTGAGCGTGGAAGATAGCTAGGATTACAGACGCGGCCTCCTTGCCCGGCTTTCAACGCTTTCATATTGCAGTACGGAACCGCATCAGCCTTAGGCGCGTGTGTAGATGAGCTCAAAACGGACCTAATTATTATTATTATTTTTTTTTTTTAAAGAAGAAGAGCATCCTGCAAGAGGAGGCATCTGTCTTCCCTAGCAAAGCATGTCCTGTGTCGACGGCTTTCTGTGAAACTAACAAAAACCGCTGGTGGGACTAGAAGCAAAAGTAGCCTAAGAACGACACTGTCCACTGGCTCACTCCTTACTATGGCCTAGGTCCCTATTTATGCTCGCCTAGTGTGTGTGTGTGTGGGGGGGGGGCGGTCCATGGATTTCCAGACCTAAAAAAGGATCCTCAGTCATTCTAAGAGCCCCAGACAAACAGGCTGTGGCTTAAGGTGGTGGAAACTGAAGTGAGACTTCATGGACCCTGACCCTGCTCTGCCTGCCGCCACCGCGAGCAGCCTTTTAACTTTCACCTGCTGGGGTTTAGTCACCTGTGGAGTGAGGACTAAAATAGTACCTGCTTGCTAGGATTGGTGTGGGGCCTAAGCGAGTTCATCCACAGAAAGCGCTTGAAGCAACGCCTGGCTGGTCACAGCGAGCTCTTTAAAATTGTTACAGCCTTTTAACTAAGTGCGCCTGAAACTCTCCAACTTTTGCCCGAGGGTGAATCAGCTCCTGTGAGTAACAAAGCGTGAGATTCCTGGGACCCGGCCACAGGAGGAAAAGAATTCGGGGTGCTGGCTGAGGGAGGGATGCCACAGCGACCTTTGCTCGGGGGACGCCCCTACAGCTTTGGTCTCCGGGTCTGGAGTCTTCACGGTTTCTTCCCAGGGACTCGGTCCCGCAAGCCGCGCGGCCCTGCTTTCCCCCAATCAGACGCCTCAAGGCTGGCGCCACGTCTGCGACCTGATCCAATCTCGTACCCGGAGGGCGGGAACCCGACGTGCCTACCTGCACCTGTGGGCCGGGCCCGCCTCCTGGGTCACCTCACACCCCCACGCACCCTTGTGCCGCTAGCTTCGGGTTTCTCCAATCACTTGGCGCGGGACCAGCAGGTGGGCAGATGTCTCTGCTCGCTGCTGCGGACGCGTAGGAAGGTTCAGTGCGCCCGAGCGAGCAGCCATGGTCCCACCTCTCGGCAGCTCCCGAGAGGCAGAGGCGCTGGCGGAGGAGAGGGACGCTCCGGAGACTGTAAGGCTGCTCACTGGGAAAGGCCGCCTGGGCTTTCTCCGGGGACGGAGAGTCTGACAGTGCCTCGGACGAGCCCACCTCGCGGAGAGGCCCGGGCTGTCTCCGTAGGGCGCAGAAATTGGAGGTGCCAAGGGTGAGCAACACTCGGCTGAGGTGCGCTGCGCTGCGGACATTCGGACTGGTACACTTTCCAGCAGCCTGGCCTCTCCGAGCCCGCGCCGAGGGACAGCGCCCCGGCTTCGGGGTGCCCGGAGCGAGGGTCCGGTGCTGCTCGCGGCCGCTAGTGCAGTGCGGGGCCTCGGCGTCTGGGAAGCCCAAGCAGGTGAGCGTTCCTGGCTTGTTCTGCGTATACCGAGAGCCTCCCAACGCGGGATCACGCTGGGCTGATGCCCTGCGCCTCCCAATCCCCCGCCTTCTAGCGAGAGGACGAGCCCCGAGCCGCCGGCGCTCTAGAACTGCGCTCTGCCTACTTTTGCGTAAGTTGCAGTCTTCTCCTTACGCAATTCTCACGAAGGTTTTCGGTGCATACCAAGTTGACAGCCGTAAAGAAGAAAGTACGGGGTAAAGGACAGAAGGCAACGTCGAGACAGCCCCCACTACCACCACCGTTAGTTAATACCTTGAGGGTACTTTTCCGATTTGCAAAGTAGGACGGAGTAGGGTGTTTACAAACCTTCCGGCCCATTGTGTCTGAGGGTGTGGGTGCCTTTTGTACAGAAAGAACTTTCGGCCGCTTTTTCTTTTATTGTTTTCAAATCCCAGCCCCAGTATCCCTCCGGGGATCTCGGGTTGGAGCGGGTACCACGGTTTCAGGGCGCAGCGGAGGACGCCTCGCGTAGACTCTGGGACTTCCTCTCCGTGGAGTTCCGGGAGGAGAACTTCCCACAACAAACACAGCAGAACTTTCCGTCTTCTGCGCACTTGCGAGTCCCGGGAGTTCTGCGTGCGTGGGTGGGAAGGAGCGGAGAGAAAACCGGAAAATGAGCAGCTGCGTGGGCGAATCCTCCGCATTGGCGGTAGTTACGCGCAGTAAACAGTGCACAGAAAGTGGCCCGGGGAGTCTCGCCTTCCGTATTAACTAAGGGCTAATAAGCAGCCTTTTTGCTCTGCGAAGAGGCAATAAAAGCTTGCAGAAGAAGCAAACTGTTTTGGAGATCCTTAATTGCGCTCTCCTGTTTGGAGGATGGAACTGCGCAAAGAAAAGAACAAAAGTCTTTAAAATGTGAAATTCTCAAGAGTTGAGTTGCGTGGTATAAACAGATTCGGAGCATATTTTAATCCTGAGCTATGGGACGAGGGGAGGAAAACTTGCAGCTTGGGCGGGTCTCTGGAGTCGGCGGGAGGCGGGGGCAGCCTTCCTAAAAACCACAAGATTGGTCTCTGAGGAATAAAAGGAACAGTGGGATGGTGATTTTCTAGGGAAGTTAAGTCTAGACATGCTTCTCTGAAAGTCACGAGCAGAAGTGGTTTAAAGGAGAATTGGAAAGAAGCAAAGCAAAGCAAACAGCATGAGCTTGTGTCTTATTCTTATTGGAATATAAATTCTCTGAAGAATCATTTCAAAATGACCCCGAGGTGGGAGATTACAGGGAAAAAACTTATTCGGGAAAATTGTGTCTGTGGTTTAACATTCGTAGCTGACCTGTAGCCGGGACACACTTAGGGGCTCCTCTGAAGGGGACTATTCTAGGACAGGTGGGTCACCTGTGGGTGTTCGTCTAGTCCGACAGTCTGGACAGGCCGTTTCTCCTCCGGAGCCAGTTTGGTCCGGATAGCTGGGATTCCCCCGGGCATCCTGCGCGCGCTCACCTACGCTCCTCCCGGGAGGCTTAGGCGAAGGTTCAGGCTGGGAAGTTCGAGGCTTAGACTTGAGAGCAGGAGGTGGCGCCCTAGAGGCCAGTAGAGCAACTGCATCCTCTCGGGCACTGCGGTGCCTCCTCCGGGCTATGCTGCTGAGATCTTGGGGCGCTGCGACCCGGACGATCTGGTACAAAGCCAAGAGCAGGGAGGGAATGAGATTAGGGCACGTGACTTCCACCAACCTAGTAACCAAGTTTCTTCCCCCCAGTACGAGGAGCTGCCTCGGCTCGCACCCTGTAGCCCGCGTGGGAGAAGCCCGGAAAGGAGTGCAGTGAGCTGCCGGAGACTACGGGAAGAAGGGGTCGCCGAAGCCTATACCCACGCGGGGCGCCCAGGCCCCCGGCCTGGCCATGGCCGACAGCAGTGGCACTGGCAACTCGGGCCCCTGGTGGAAATCGCTCACCAACAGCAAAAAGAAAAGCAAGGACACCCAGGTAGGAGCGCAGCCTTTGGCCCAGCCTGTCCCTGTGGAGCCTGCGCCTCCCAGCTCAGACTGGACCAGCAGCTCCCGAGAGAACCAGCATCCCGGTGTCCTTGGGGGAGCCGGCGAGTCTCCCAAGTCAGACAGGTCCTGCGGAGAGAAATCTGGCAACAGCCGCCGCAATCTGAAGATCTCACGTTCTGGCCGCTTTAAGGAGAAGAGGAAAGTGCGCGCCACGCTGCTCCCGGAGGGAGACAGGTCCCCGGAGGAGGCAGATTTCCCTAGTGACTCCTACGAAGACAAGCAGTAACCTTCAGGACACGTCTTCCACCACTTACCCTCACCACCCCCCGTGCTACTGCACGGAGAATTCTAACCCGCGCCAGTAGTTGGTGTCTCATTCCCAACAAACTGAGAGCACTCACATATGGCCAAGATTTTATTTTCTCTTGATGTATCAATTGAGTGCTCAATATTTCACGTCTCAAAGATGCATTAAATATTTGTGATAAGGGACAACACCTACAGCTGAGGCACTTGGCTAGATTTTTTTTTTTTTCAGAACACTATGCTGGGGCCTCCGGCTTGTTCATGTCCCTTATGGGAGGGACACCAGTGGGCAGGTCTTTCTCACAGAGACAGTAGCTGAACTTGAATTCTGCAGCCCCTCAAAGGAGGAAGGTGTGCTCTGGAGGACTTAGACTGGCAAATCAAGTACTGTTTTTAATGTCTCAGAGATGCACTTTAGGGATACTTCCCTAGACTTAAAAGGAGTGGAGAGAGAAACATTCCTGAAGAGAAGCATTTGAAGTGGGGCAGGATTGCTTCCAATTTGGAATACAAACCTGTACCATCCACTTTAATGCGGACTATTAAAATTGTTGCACTATAAGACTTAAGGTGACTTTTGTATTTTTTTTCCATTACAAAGCAAAAATTCATCATACTTAAAAGCAAGCATGCAGAGTCTGAGGTGACAGAGTTAATCATTTGCCATGCAACATAGCAGCCACTATTGGAAAGCTGCAAGGACTGGAACATTTCTAGAAACCAACAACATCCGGACTGGAACCAGCTACATAGATATTCCAATTTACTGGTCCAGTTTGAGGGAGGGAGGTTCCAATTCAGTATTCTCAAATTCTCCGTTTACTTCATTGCTTTCTCCTAGGCTAAGTCATAATGCTAAAATACAACCTTTTCAGGACACACTGATAATCTTAATAGCAATTGGCTGAAAGTATAGACAAATGGACTGTGCTTCAGTCTAACGCTCTCCCAACTTACTCAGTTTGTGCAGAGCTGCCCTGTCCCCTCCCTTTTGCTTCAGAGGCTTATTGCTTTAGTCCGCAGTCTGCATTTATCTAATCTCAAAGCCTTTAGGTCTACCTACCTGAAGATTCTTAACAAAAATCCACCTGTTTGCTTTTATTATGACCTTCAAGGAAAAGAATAAATGGATACCACTTGCTTTGAGCAAATTACAAGAGAGTTATTGTAGTCAATAAGAGGCACTGAGATCTTTTCCCTCTACATTTCAGTTCATTTATAAAATTCAGAAATGCTTAGCAAGTGAATAACATGGATCAAAGTGTGTATCTTTTTGATAATGACAAGCAAGAACTTAATTGAAGGTGTTCAATCTGTATACATAAGGTACTGTGGATTTGTATCTATTAAGCTAATAACTTATAAAATAGGAAAACATGTCAATTGTTTAAATAAATTTACCTAAGTTTGAGGAAGATGGCTAAAACAAATTTAAAGTTATGGCTCAAGATGGGTACCCGCAGAATATTACAGTTAATTATTTGATACCCAAGTTTCCACATACTAAAGACCTTATTCTAAAGGAAATTCTTTACCTCAGAATTATGAACATCTTACGTTAAAAGAGAAAGTATGTAGGAGGTTTTATTTCTTTGTTTTGCATTTTTGTTGTGTGCTTTTTTTAAGCATAAAAAGACTTTTGTTGCACTTTTAGAACTGTAAGATATGAGACCAAAGTCTCATTCAGGTGGGGTTTCCTAGAGAAAGGCTTTATATTTATTACAAATGGGCCCCCATCTCTAGATTCAGATGAAGAAGAGGGAGTTGGGAACTTGGAATGGACAAGAAGTTCATGGTAAAGGAAGGGAATTGGGGCTGGGAGGAAAGGCAGCAGATGTCAAAGAAGGCACTGAGAAATGTCATAACACATTCTAATTTCACTCTGTTGAAAGCAATCAAAATTAAAGTCATTACACAAAATGTCCTTTCCCTTCCCAGGAAGACAAATAGCACAGGACTGTACCCATTTATAAGATTAAATTTACAATAATTTAAAAATCTTAGGCTCTCTTTCATCTACCATTTTATTGTTTTAAAGAAATTTTTTTCTTCAAAATTTCTCTAAATCCACTAGTATTTCCCCAGCTCCCATGTCTAGCCTTGGATCCCATCCAAGTCTCCAGTTGCTGTGGGTATCCAATGGTAGACATACAGTAGTGGAACTTACTAACATGACATCTTTGCCCTACTGTTCTGAAAGAAAACTATGCTAATGGCACTTCTGACAGTGAATGCAATTCACAATCCACCATTGAGGTTTGTAATTACATCATTTTAAAGCAGTCCTACATTATGCAGTGGGAAGGGTACACTGATTTAATCCCAACTAGTGAAATCGGAAACCGGGCAAATTGGTTGAGAATAAGATCCAGAGTAGGATAAGATAGTTCGACAAAATATCTTTCTGGGACTTATGTGCTTTACAGACAATTAATTACATTCCCATAATGCTTATAGAGTTTTAAAGCTTTTAAACCTTGAGACAATTTATAGTAAGTGAATGAAAAATGCTGCTGAATTAAATTTTCAGCTCATTAGAGAATTTTGTTTTCTTTCAACCCCTTACAAATGAAATTTCACGAATTTGGGAACCATTAAAAATGTGAATACTGTGATCCCAAATGATGTGAGAAAAAATGAGATGAATATCTAGTAGTATGTTTGCTGAATGCTCCTGTAACTATGATAATGATATACACCTGGTAGTTTCTGTCTCAGTGACTCTCCTTGCAAAGTTTGTGGCTGAGCAGTGACTCATATTACAGATCACCTGAATGTCCCCTTTGTGTTTACACTTCTGTTGCTCATCCCATTCTGACTCGCATCTCAAGAGCACAGACTCAATTTTGCACATACGTTTGGCGTGCTCTGGCTCTGCATCAACACAAAGCTGTTTTTTCTTTGAAACGTTATGTGAATTCAGCAACTCTGGTTCTGCCAAATCTTTCTTAGAGAAATATGAAGTAGTTGTTTTCCTGAGATGCACAGAGGTATATTTTGGTGACTTGAAATAAATGATTTTAAAAAAAGGGACAAGAATTGCAAATAAAATGTAAACCCAGAAGGAATACATGAGCACACACTAATATCCAGTGACCACAGGGATCTTTTATGAAAACAAAGAAAATACTATTTCTTTCCTAGCTGAGAAGTATCAGCTCGAGTAGAAATCAACACACAAAATGCTAGATTGATAGAGGAGGTAAGGGAAACTGGCTTTTTGAAGTCTGTTTTATTTTGGGAGGATTTTATTATAATATATAAAATTTAACAGGTTCTTTCTTGGGTTAAGTTCAAGTTCATTTCTTTATTTTTTTAATTTATTGTAAAAATAAAAGAAGGAAAACATTAACAAACAGACAACCATTTACAAACTAGCAAAAGAACAATACAAACAATATAGAGTTACAGACGAAGTGGTAGGAAATTAACAGTGCTTGTTGTATTACGTATTGATATCTTCAGAGTGGTTTCTTAGGAAAACAAACAGAGACATGCAAGATTGATCAATGAAGGAATCATTAACTGTTTCTTTCAGTAAAGCAATTGAAGACAGTACTACAGCTATGTTAGCTATCCTGTATATACATACATACATAATTTCTCCTTCTTTCCCTTCTCTTTTCCCACACCCCAGTTGCCCTTTACTTTTGAGCATTTTCCTTTCATTTCACAACCTCTATCATACCTCCTAGTTTTTGTTCACTCTTTCAGATCTTACACTAGTGAGACAATATGATGCTTACACATGCAGGTCTGATTTATTTCACTTATGAGTATGGTCTCTAGTTGTGACCATTTACCTATACAAGCCTTGAGTTTATCTTTCTTTAAGTTCAAGTTCATTTCAATGGCAACTAGAAAGTATGACTGGAGGTATTTTATCTACTTGGACATCGACACACAAGTACCATAGACTGGAAACAAGCATGGAACCCAGGGGAAACTTGGTCATTAATGGGCCAGATGTCCTATTTCAGTAATGTTCTTTTCACCTGTTCTCCCAATGCTCTTCTTTCCTCTGAACCATCACACATGGATTTCTATGAGGCTCAGGAATGTTGGGGGATAAAGCAGAGGCCCCGGGACTTTTTCTAGCTTCTGTTGGCACAGCCAACATTTTGCCAACCCCTTTGTCAGAAGATGGCCATGAAGATAAAGAACATGGGCTGCATAGCATTCATGGTGAGAAAATATTATCACAAGAGATGGAATGTGAGGAAGCTACACATGCCAGACCTTAGCAGAGGTTAATTGAGTGACCCTGTAGAACAAACAGTAGCTACAGGTTATGATAACTAAGACAGACAGCAGAATAGAAACAGTCCTTTCAGGTATGCAACACAAAGAATTTGATTGGATGGGGCTGCAACTGAAATAATGGACTCAAAATCATCATTTCAAAGTTGGTGGTATGATCTCATGCAATAAGATCCAAAAATGGAGTATCTTTATCTAGATGGTGTGGAACATCGCTGGTTACCTAAGAGATAAAAATTGTAACCTGAAACTTGAAAGACTCAAGTTGAAGAAGCTCAAGATCCTTGGCATTGAGCAGATTAACCTCCTGGTTAGTTAGGAAAAAGGCTTCATTCTGCCTTTTCCAAAAGGAATTTCCCTTGAGTTGCAAGCATTCTGGATTATGGATTTTTCTAGTGCCTCATCAATAAGTACACCACACCCTCCAAGGATGACAGTAGGAAGCTCCTTCACTTTTCTAAGACACCAATTCCAGTGCCCTGTCTCACTTGCTGGTTTGTTGTTTGTTTGCTTGTTTTTGTTTTGGTACCAGGAATCGAACTCAGGACGATAAACTTGCCAAGTAAGGCGCTGTGCTGCTGAGCCATATCCCCAGCCCTGACTTGCTGTTCAAGAACATCTGATGACCAAGGCATTTGTTTACTCTTTACATAATAAGGGAATAAAGTTCCTATCCCAGCTATAAAATTCTTTTTCATATTCTGCTCTTTTAAGCACTGGTTGTAAAAGTAAATGCATATAATGTTCATTCTTCACTTTAAAACAGAAGCTGCCGGCTGTTCAGTACTGACTGTTCGGTGGGGAGATGGGGAGGAAGGCTGAGAAGGATGCATTGTGATAGGTTCCCAGCACAATGTCGTCATTTAGCACAACATTTGGGTGATCCTGCTACATAAAAATATTGCTCATGCTCAGAATCAAATTTCAGAAGTGATTGCTTATTAGTACTTGTTATTATTAGTAGTAGTTCATTAGTATTGAAAATATGTGCTTTAAAGCTGAAAATGTGTAGCTCAGTGGTAGAACAAGAATTTAGCATATGGGAGGCCCTAGATTTGGGTTTCAGCCCTGCAAAAATAAAGAACTATAGTATTTTTTCCACATCTGTTATTTCACTCTCAAGGGTCCAAAATCCTGATAAACTGTTTTCTATCACCACTGATGGGGTCCTAGGTCAGGAACACATTGCCTTGGCATACAGGGTCCTGCAGACGATCATGTCTTAATTCTTCTCCATCCCCTGTCTAAATCCCTGCAACTTAAGGCCAAACCCCTTCACAATGGCTGCCACCCATGTCCAGCCATTCCA